TCTCTCGCTCTATGCTTACTCAATCTCTCTCTCTGTCTGTGTCTCTCTCTCTCTTTCTCTCTCTCTCTCGCTCTATGCTTACTCAATCTCTCTCTGTCTGTGTGTCTCTCTCTCTTTCTCTCTCTCTTGCTCTATGCTTACTCAATCTCTCTCTGTCTGTCTCTGTCTGTGTCTCTTTTTCTCTCTCTCTCGCTCTATGCTTACTCTATCTCTCTCTCTCTCTGTCTCTGTTGCGCTCCCCCTCCTCTCTCACTCTCAGAATAAAAATTCTCATAACGATGATCAAGATGTAAAGGTAAGAAAATAAGATATCATCAGGAGAGTCATAATATAGAGGAGTATGACTCGTTCGAAACACAAGAAATTCAACATTTCAATGCCCTAGTTTACCTATGATTTATTACGTGAAACTCAATAAAAATGATAGCAGAAGTAGCGTTGTACATCCCACTTGCCCTCACACTTTACCTTGTAATGATACCTCTTCTTGTTACGTAGTTATAGCTTCGAACGTCAGACATGGTTTTAGTCATTCACCTAGTCAAGCGGCAGGCATTCCCGGCCGATGCGAGTAAACGGCAGCTCACTGTGAGACGCTGTTGACGGAGTTCAGCGGGGAATGCCTGCCGCTTGAAGGTGTTTCGAGCTAGTCGTACGCCTCTATATTATGACACTGCTGATAATATGTTGGCTTGTATTTGCAGTTGTATCTTCAAACGAAATTGTCACCGAAAAACATCACATTCTCTTCCTTCCTGCTGCCAGTCATACAAGTAGCATCACTGACGTTAGCCACACTTTGCTGCCTGTCTCGAATCAACGACAATAAGCACTTTTGGAGCGATGTGCTTGTGGGCAGTCTTCTAGGTGCTGGTGCTGCCATCTACATGGTATTCTTTAAAATTGTTCTCAAGCATGGTACTTTATTTACGAAAGCAAAACGGGGTATGGTAGATGATTCCATTGGCAGAGTATGGATGAAAATTGGGCTGATAGGAATCGCAATTTTTGTAATATGTCTAATGAGATATTCGCATGAAATTTTGTGATGTTATTCTTTACTAATGTTTTACTGGGAAAATCATTGTAATTTTCTATAGTGCATTAACTTTATTGAAGAAGCTGAGTTATTGCAATTAATCTTTATAAGCCCAACAGCATGTAGGTTTACAATTGACAGTGTAATACTGTATGTAGTAACTAGTTATATATTTGACATTTACTTTGGTTTTGTCAGCTAATCTTGGGTTTCATTCTATGACGTTTACTAAATCAGAACGTGACATAAATGCTTCAGTGTTCTTGCATTTGATCCATTATAATTCTGTGTAACAATCAAGTTATAATCGAAATGTTCTGTGCACAATATATGGTTGTATTTAAGTAATTAAACTGTGGACTAGAATGTGAAAATTAATATGTAGAGCAATCACAGTGATACATTGATGTTTGAGCTCTGTTGAGGAAAATTGATGGCATTTCACACTCACTAGCTAGTTAGCTTATTAATAAAGGTTTCGTTACTTTAAATCTGATTGCCTTATATCTTAAATGCTTATTTTCGTAAAGACTAACATTTCAAATTAGACAAAGTGTTAGAGCGTTACCAGCTTGGACATATTTTGACTACAGTATATAGCTACTGGTCAAGACAGCTGCATGTGCGAGGTCTGCGTGTCTTGAAGCACATGTTAGTTTACAGTGGACTTTCAGGTATCGCATATGGCACAACTGCTGAAGAGACCTAAACGCCGTGTGAGGTGGGAGGCAAGACCAACGAGAGCGGCCATATCTGATGATGAAGAGACCGACACCTGCGTTTCTATCAACGCCGAGAATTAAGAGCTGCTGCGGAATTTAATATGTGCACTAAGGTTGTATCGCGATTACATTATGGTCATAATGGACTTTGTACATAGTGTTTATTAATTAGGAAGAGCGAAAAACTAGTTCGAGTTGGGGACTGGTAACAGAATATCAGGTAGTTTTTTTTTTTTAATTTGTTAGGGCTACTCTGTCCTTCAGCTATATCTGTTCACTGAGGCACGCACGAGTGTAGGCAGTATAGCTGAAAAGGGAGGAAACGGGTTGAATTGTCTGCCTCTGTAATGTTGAATGACTATACCTCAGGTGATTGACACACATTTATGTGAACAATATGATCACACAAAAAACTACTGTAAATTTCGATGGTTTTAATCTTGGATATGCGGGTGTTGTACTCTGATTCTTGTTCTCTGTTCGTGTTATTGTATTTATTTTTACCGTTTTTGAATTTTTAGCTGTTTGAGTGACCTGCTTTTCAAGTAAATGTTACTGACCTATATGTAACTGAGCTGATGATTGATGATGCTTGAGAATATTCATCCTTCAACCAACGGGTGTAAATGCGATATACAGTTGCGGTAGACACCCATCCTTATATTTGTGCATTTATATTACAGAAGTATTGCATTTTTATTACTGAATTGTTTTAATGAGGGAGAGGCAGAAAACGCGTGGGAAGAGAGGCACAGGTAAAGATGGTTAGTGAGGGAAGGGAAGGGAAGAGGAGGGAGAGGAGAGGATAGAAGAGAGGAGGAGAGAGTGAGTGGGTGAGAGTGAGTGAGTGAGTGAGAGAGTGAGTGAGAGAGAGAGGGAGTGAGTGGGTGAGTGAGAGTGAGTGGGTGAGTGAGTGAGTGAGTGAGTGAGTGAGTGAGTGAGTGAGTGAGTGAGTGAGTGAGTGAGTGAGTGAGTGAGTGAGTGAGGGAGGGAGGGAGAGAGGGAGCGAGCGTGCGAGGGAGGGAGGGAGCGAGCGTGCGAGGGAGGGAGGGAGAGGGAGGGAGGGAGACATCATAAGTTGTAGTAAACGCAATAGAAATGTGCGAAAATAATTTATTACAATTTAATTTCCCACTCATAGTAATATAACAATCACATGTGCATGAACAAATTAGTTGGGAATGGTTAGAAATGCCCTAGTAATTACTATAGAGTATGCATATGTAGATGAGCAACGGTAAATGTAATGCATTGTGCTTTTAATTATCTATTGTGATTTTATTAAGCGTACTGCTATATCGGTCGAAGGTGTACTAAAAACGGTTGTAATAGATGTGTAGTATAAATTATCATTTATTTTAAGCGTTCTCACTGCTGATGGCACGATATCTTAAGACGTGGCTATTTTGCGTGGTTATTTTCTCCTGTGCTCTAACAGTCGACCATGTCCTTTTCCTCAGTGGTATATGCTTGACAGTGGTGCATGCGATGCGTTCAAAAAATGTTCAGCTGGCAGGCGTCTGGAAACAGACGAACAGTTGCGCGAACAAATTGCAATTTATACGTACCGTACTAATATTCTAATATATCACGACGAAAGATCTCATAAGATCGACATGTAAAATTATCTGTACTCGTGTTCTTATACAATATAGGCGTCCGTATATGAGTACGTACGTATGAGTACATTCATTTGTATTATTATTTGCTTTGCACTGTGTTATTGAATACGGTTAGTTATGCTGAGAGGGTCTATGTCCCCCAGGGTACTGCCGGTATACCCGAACGTACCCTGGTACCAGAGCATATAAATCAACGTGATTTATATGCTCTGCTGGTACTATCTAATATGCCGGACCGTACCTCGCCTACTCCACTAACGAGTCTAGGGAGTCGCCTACGCCTACTCCCTAACCTTAACCCTATCAGATAGTTACCAGGGTACGTTTCGGTATACCGGACCGTACCCAGGGTACGTTCCGGCAGTACCCTGGGGGGCATAGACCCTATGAGCGCTAGGCCTGGTTCGAAAGGCGGGCACTGCATTTTTCACTCACATTTCTTTGGGAAATATCTGCGCTTCTTGTTGTCATCCACACTGCTTTTATCTGCGCTGGTCTGGCTGCATCGCTGGTCATTCTGTGGAACGATAAATCAGTGTTGATGTCGTTATTGCTGGTCTGCT